TGTTTATAGCAGCGTCATTCCTAATGGGCAGGAAGTGCAAACCACCCAAATGCCCATCAGCTGATGAGCAGATAACAAAGTGTGGACCCTCCCTACAGTGCAACGTATTCAGCCGTGAAGGCCTGAATGACTGACACGGTTCCCTCTCCACGGAATGTCTGGAACGGACACGTCTGCAGAGATAGAAGAGAGACCGGCTTTCGCCCGGGGCCAGCAGGGACTGGGTGCTGGGGGCAGGCGGGGAACCACTAGAGGGTTTGGGATTTCTGGTCCAGGTAATGAAAATGTTCAAATTGCCTTGGACGGTTTGGCTCAGCGGTTAGAGTGTCGACTTGCGGTCCAGAGAGACCCAGGTTTGGTTCCTGCTAAGGGCACGTACCTCGGTTGCAGTTTGTCCCCGGCCCTGGTTGGGTCGTGTGGGTGGTAGCCACTCGATGTGTCCCTTTCACGTCGATGTTTCTCTCTCTCCCTCTCCCACTCTGTCTGAACTAAATATGGAAAAATGTCCTCAGGTGAGGATTAAAAAAAATGTTCAAATTGATTTTGATGATGATAGTATCTCTCTGATTCTTAACAAAACATAAAACTGTGCACTTCAAATGGGTGAGTTATAGGATATGTGAATTATTTCTCAGTGAAGCTGTTAAAAGAAAAAGTGCTGGACTTGAACCCTAGGACCTGTCACTTACTAGCTTAGGTCACTTACCCTCATAGGATTGTTGCTATGAAGACGGAAGGAGAACGTCTTGGTGCAAAGCCTCAAATGAAACAAGCGCAGAAGTGGTAGGTGCTGTTCGTCATCAGAGGACACGGCCCATCCACAGTCCAGGCCGCTGTATTCGGTACTCCTCAGGGGGTACCCCAGGCCCCACACCCGGCAGCCTGCACCAGGGTCTCCTGTGAAAAGGTGACCTTGGTCGATCAGGTTCCTGCTCTTTACATTTAAATGGAGAAACAGAGAGACTACATACATGACTGTGAGGCTGAAATGTCAAGGTCACAGGGGTTGGATGAGCCTGTGCTGATCAAAGTGAGGAGGGAGCGAAGCTCACTGAGGGGCAGAGGGGCACGAAGGGGTGTTCAGGAGAAGCAGAAATGCAGGGGTGAAGCGGAGGGTGCTGGGGCCCTAGAACTGCCTGCATTCCCGAGAGCTTCCTGGTCGGATCCGAAGCCACCTGTGACCGCACACTGCGCCACCACCACGGTGAGGTCAGGGCGACCAGGTGATGCAGTCATGGCACAGAGGTCCAGGACCCACGTCCGATCCCAGCTCGCCACCTACCAGCTCTGTGACCGTGTGCAAGGCACTCCACGGCCCGTGCAGATAAGGAATTCCCCGAATCTCTCTGAGCCTCGGTGGCCTGTCCCTGTCCCCTCGGCGTCCTGCTAGGGCTCCCTGCACAGGGTCGTTGACACGAGACAGTGCACCTGAATGCCCAGCATAGAGTCAGAACCCAGCAACGGAGAGGTTGCTAGTTCAAACTGCGGACTTTTCCTCATTAATGTAACTTGACTACTCGCAGGCAGACGCACGCCCACAGCTGGTTACAGGAAATCATTTAGGGCTCGCAGTCGTTCGGTCGAAAGGGAAATTGTGAAAAAGGGTACTCGAGAGTGAACATTTCAGAAACGAGGGGTCTACTCCGTGACTTCTTTTCCTGATGGAGGAATGGACATCTAGAGCTGACCAGAGCGGACCAGAGCTGACCGAGGCTCTGCAGGGTCGGGGCCAGCCTTCTCCACCCCAGGTGGACGCTCAGTCACAGACCCTCAGGTCGCCCACACGGACGCCACTGAACTCACTTAGCAGCCTCTCCACTGTTCCCTTAACCAGCTCTTGGTTATTGTGATTTTTTAAAATAGAAGGTAAAATTAAAGTCCTTTATCATGTATTTTTATTATATACATGTTACTATATAAATGACATTAAATCCACAATTGTTTACAGGGGATTAGTCCACTGAGTTACTGGCTAACCCATCCATATGGCCAAGTTCACCACCGACACTTTTTCATGGGGAGTCACAAGAATGTCCAGGTTTCCCAATGGCCGAGCACTTCTTCTGGGGCTGTGACCTGAGAAAGAACTTGCAGAGGACAATGGAGCCATTTCAGGGTGACTTACATTCTTTCACATGATTGTTAATACCAATTATCCTAGACCCGGGAGGGAAAAACCCCTCCAAACCCTTTCTTTCTGTCAGATTTCCCAGAGGGCCGAGCGTGGCACAGAACCCTTTCCTTTTCTGCAATTATTTTCCAATTAATTTGTTCCTGGCCCCGTTCGCTTTTATTCGCGGCTGGGGCCGTTGCATCACACCCAAATGAGCTTCCTCTTTCTATTGTTAGACAGAATTTCTCAAAAGATTTTAAAACTTTCTGCTTCCTTTTTATTCTGTTTTGTGGGCGAAGCATTTTATTCAGACTCTTTCCTCCGGGAGACCTCTCGAGTTGGGAAGTTAAATGATATTGTGTGGGTGGGAGATGTTGGGAAGTTTTGACAGTTGCGGGAGACGGTTTCTGAGGCGACCCTGGTTGCCTGCCACGGGCTTATCTGTGGATGAGCCTCTGGTATCTTAGACATTACGCTTAGTGACTTGCCTGTAGTTCTCATCACAATAATGGTAAACACATTATACTAGAAACTGTTTATTGAGGTTTATGTGCTAAGTGCTTTAGACAGGTCATTCTATGTATCCTCATCACAGTCCTGAGAGAGGGTTTCACTAACCCTATTTGATAGATGAAGAAAGTAAGAATTTCACAATTTAAGGAGGTTACCCAAGATCATTCAACTTGTAAGCAGCAAGGACCACCTGGGTCCTCAGCTCTCACTCACCAAGCCCCTTCTTCTCAAGCGGGGTGCCTCAGACCAGCAGCATCAGTAGCATTTGGGACAATGTTAGAAAGGCAACTTCTTAAGCTGCACCTCAGATCTACTGAATCAGAAACAGGGAGTGGGCCCAGCCATCCGTGTTTTCATCGGCTCCCCGGGGGGTCCTGAGGGGTGCTGGGGTTACAGAAGGAGCTCCAGAGCGTGAAGGCGTCTCAGCTGTGATGAGGGAATGGGGAAGTCTGGCCGGGGAGTGACTCCAGGAACTTTGGGACCCGTGGCTTCCTGTCTCTCAGAATTCCCATGGTTCCCGAGGCCCTCAAGACCTCCAGGGGCTGGGCAGTGGGCCTGGATCCTGGACTCTACATCGTTAACACACGTACATAAAATCTGTGTTGAAGCACCGGCCTCACCAATTGTAAAACAAATGTGGAAATGACAAGTTTCTTGCCAAGTGGTTGTGATCTCAAATGAGGAAATGTGTGAACGTTCCTGGCAAACTGTAAAATAGTCAATACAGACAAAAGAACCTTAAAAAAAATTCCATCTTGCCCGGCTGGTGTGGTTCAGTGGTTGAGCATTGACCCATGAACCAAGAGGTCACCAGTTCGATTACTGGTCAGGGTGCATGCCCAGGTTGTGGGCTTGATCCCCAGTGGGAGGCGTGCAGGAGGCAGCTGATTGATGTTCTCTCTCATCGATGTTTCTATTTCTCTCTCCCTCTCCCTTCCTCTCTCTTTAAAATAAATATAGAAAAAAAATTTTTTTTTTAATTCTATCTTTTTAAAATTCAGATGTAATTGATATATAATGTTGTTAGATTTAGGTGGACAAAACAACAACTCGATATTTTTATATAATGCAAAAGGATCACCACAGAACTCTTCTTTCTATTAAAAAAGTCCAGACATAAAATTCAAACATATACTAGGGAGAACAGTACAATAAACACGAAAATACCCATACACCAGCTTTCAACAATGACAACTCATGGCCAATTGTGTTTCATTTCAGGCCACCCCCTACATCACCCATATTTTGGGAAGCAAATCCTAGAGAGCATATCTTTTAATCCATATATATGTCTTCTTTTTAAAAAGTATGTGTTGTTTAAAAAAATTTTTAGTGAGAGAGGGAGAGAGAGAAACATCGATGGGAGAGAGACATCCATTCAGTGCCTTCTGCATGCCCCCTGCTGGCGATCAAGCCCGTCACCAGGTCATGACCAGGAATCTGCCTCTCAGTCCATGGGCAGATGCTCAATATACTGAGCCGCATGGGCCCAGCTATCCGTATCTATACTTTAATTCATCTATCTCAAAGAAAGGAATTCCTTCAAAAACAGCCCATACATAACACGGTCACTCTTAGAAAACGAAAACCAAAACGGACAGCAATTCCCTCATTTCATGGAACATCTTGGCTGGATTCCGCGGTGCAGTCCCTGACTGCTCTACAATGTGAGACCCGCAGGTTGGAGTCAGCGTTAAGCGAGCTCCCCACACTGCAGGCTGAGATGTTTTGCAGCGACACGTGTCCACCTCCGTCTCCCCTAAAGAAACGGACTCCAGGAAGCCGGTTCTCAGACCCCCGCGCGCACCAGGGCGAGCAGAAGCCGCGTCCTGCCCCGGGGATCCCAGTCTGCGTTCCCGCAGGCTCCGGGCGCCGCGGGTCCGGCCCAGCTGAGCCCTGCGGCTGGGCCCGCGGCCCGGCCCGGCCCCTGCCACGGGGCGCGTCCCGGTGAGAACGCGGGGCCCGGGGCGGCGGGGCTGCCGTGTCGCACGGGACACCCCTTTGCCATGGGACGTGGCACGGCCTGCCCCGCGTCCCAGCAGGACCGGGTCGTGGTGAGGGCTGCACGCGGTTTCAACACGACGCGCGTGCTGAGCATGGTGCGTGCACAGCGCGAACGCGGGACAACTCCGATCACAACTGTTTCGGTGGAGAGAAGTCATGGGGCGCACGGTCTGTGGAAGGCGGGGGTTCGGTAAGGTGTCGTCGTGCTTCCAAGTCGCCAAAGCCTAGTAGGAGCGCGGCCAGAGGCGGCTGGAGAGAGGCGGAGAGAAGGGAGGACGGTCACGTCCGCGGCGTGCGGGCCGCGGTCCGGCCCCTTTAAGGAGGGCGGGGCCACGTGACCCACACAAGGTCACGTGGCCCGCGGGACAAGATGGCTGCGCCCGCGCTGGGGTCTGCTGGGGGGCGCCGCGCCGCGCTGCGTCTAGTCGTCTTGCTGCCGCTGCTCGTGCTGCCGGGCGGGGCGGCGGCGGGCGGAGAGGCCGGGCCGGGCGCGGGCTCGTGCGGCTGCGGCGCCCCACAGCGGCCCGGCGCCCCCGGCGGCTCGGCGGCCGCGCACCGGTACTCGCGCGAAGCGAACGCCCCGGACCCGGGCCCCGCAACGCGGCCGCCCGCGCCCGCCAAGGTGCTGTCTCGGTGCAGGAGGCGGGTGGGCGCCCCCGGTTCCGTAGGGCCGGCGGGAGGGCAGGCAGAGGTGACAGCCACACCCACGTGCGCAAGTGGTGGTGCGTCCGAGGACTGGGCAGCCACACCCACGTGCGCACCTGCTCCCTCCCTCGGTCCCCGCGCGGCTGGGCCCGGGCCCAGCGTCCCTCTGGGCATCGGGGAGTTTGCAGGAGGACCGCTGCCCCCATCCTTACCCCACCCCCTATTTCCTGCCCCTTCCCGGGGTCTGGTTAATGAAGGTCTCAGCTTGTTACTCGCGTGGGTCGGGGTTTACGTGCTGTCGTCCTCCCTGGTGGACGCAGGAAATCCGCGTCCCTGCCCTGTGGCTGCTGGTGGGTAGTCTCTCCCAGAGGACGGTGCTTCTGCAGGGCCAGGACTTGTCCTGTTGTCCTGGCCCTTTAGCACGTGGGAAGGACTCGGCCCACAGCAGTCGCTTCTTTGCTGTTACTGACCCTTGACTTGCTCAGTGCCTGGATGAGTTAGGTGCTGGATCTGTAAATGACCTTAACAACTGTTACTTCCTTCTTTCCACCTGCCAGGTCCTTGGTGCTTTGGTATGGTTGTGGAAACAACTTTCTGGAGCAGGACCCAGGTCCCTGACCCCTGAAGAAGTTCTCCTGATTACCTAGTGCCCCACACCCCCTGTCCTCCTGTGTCCACCCCCCTCTTCTTCCCTGGGGCTAATGTGAGGGTGCTGAGGGCAGGACCATGATTGTATGTCTCAGGTATAGAGTGTTAGGTTGGTAGCTTCTTGTTCTCCATTCTTTTAAACTATTGGCCTCTTATTTTTTTTTACTTATTTATTTTTTATCCTCACCTGAGGACATTTTTCCATTTTTTGTTCAGCTAGAGTGGGGGAAGAGAGAGAGAAGTATCAATGTGAAAGGGACACATCGAGTGGTTGCCACCCGCACGACCCAACCAGGGCCGGGGACAAACTGCAACCAAGGTACGTGCCCCTAGTGGGAACCGAACCCGGATCTCTCTGGAACGTAGGCCAACGCTGTAACTGCTGAACCAAACTGGCCAGAACTATTGGCCTTTTAAATTTTTCCTTGTGTTCCTCAGAGGTTGACCATCTTTATTAGTGTTTATCTTTCATGTGGTGGGGAGCCATGGTTACTGTTGAGTGTGTAGTGTTCACAGCTGATTTTAAATCCTATCTAATTTGCATGGTAATTGATAACCAGTTTCTCCCTCCTAAAGCAGCAGCCCTGTATCTGTTTATCTGCCTTGTAACTAACAGCGCAGCTCTTTTCTTTGCATGTACACATTGATCTGATTCAAAAATTTTGTCTAGAACCTTCTGGCCAGTATTGAACATTCCTTATTCAAATGCTCCAACTTCCTACTGGTTCCAGAATGGGATGTGGTTGCCAGTTATCTTTTGAGTCACATTTTTATAAGACATTTTTTCATCTCTTTAGCGGGGGTTTTGTGTCCAGACTGGGTGGTTGTGGGAGGTCAGCTTTGGCTGATTCTTGCATTCACTTTCTCTGGTAGTTGCAGGCATCTCAAGCTATTAATATACTAGTGGTTGCTGAGAACACAGCCCACCAGCCTTCAAGGACACGTAACCTAATGATTGCATCTGAAGTAGCCTTGCTGTCAAGACAAGATTTCACAGGAGTTCTTCATCTCTGTTTTCACTGGTGTCAAATGGGTTAGTTCATGTGCAGGTGACTTTGGTTGAATTCTGACTTTTAGCTATTTTTTTTTTTTTCTATATTCAGGAAGTGCAATATTATGGGAGAGGTGCACGGTCGGATTGGTAGTTCCTTCCTCCCTCCCACCTTCCCTCCCTCTTTTTTAAAAGACTTTTTGTAGAGCAGTTTTAGGTTCACAACAAAATTGAAAGGAAGGTACAGAGATTTCCCATATACCCCCTGTCCCCTACACATGCACAGCCTCCCCATCATCGACATCCCCCACCAGAATGGTACATGTTACAGTGGATGAACCTGCATGGCCACATCATAGTCACCCAAAGTCCATAGTTTTCTTTAGGGCTTGCTCTTGGTGTTGTGCATGCTGTGGGTTTGGACAATGTATATCCATCATTACAGTATCATACACAGTCTCCTCATTGCCCTAAAATCTGTGATCCACCTACTTCTCCGTCCATCTCCCCACTGGCAAGTTTTAGCTGGTCTTTTTGTCTCCATACTTTTGCCTTTTCCAGAATGTCGTATAGTTGGAATCACACAGTATGTAGCCTTTGCACATTGGTTTCTTTCACTTAGTAATACGCAGTTAGGGTTCCTCCATGTCTTTTCATAACTTGTTAGCTCATTTCTTTCTTTTTTTTTTTTTATCCTCACCCGAGGACATTTTTTCATTTTTTGTTCAGATAGAGTGGGAGGGAGAGAGGAAGAGAGAGAGAGAGAAACATCAATGTGAAAGGGACACATCGAGTGGTTGCCACCCGTACGACCCAACCAGGGCCGGGGACAAACTGCAACCGAGGTACGTGTCCTTAGCGGAAACCGAACCCGGGTCTCTCTGGACCACAGGCCCACGCTCTAACCGCTAAGCCAAACAGGCCAGGGCTAGCTCATTTCTTTTTAATGCTGAATAATATTCCATTATCTGGATGTTCCACTGTTTGTTTATTCACCTGAAGGCACCTTGCTTTTAAGTTTTGCCAATTCTCAATGAAGCAGCTGTAAGCAGTCGTGTGCAGGTTTTTATGTGGACATGTTCTCAGTTCCTTCGTGTAAATCAAGGCACCTGACTGCTGGGTCAGAGGGCGAGAGTGAGCTTAGTTTGTTGAGAAACTGCCACATTGAGTTCCGGAGTAACTTAGTATTTTGCATTCCCACCAGCATTGTATGAGAGGGTTGTTCCACACCTTGCTAGCATTTGGCGTTGTCAGTGTTCCAGATTTCGGGCGCCTCTAATAATGGGTGTGAAGTGGTGTGTCATGGCTCTAATTTGTATTTTTTGGTTGACCTATGATGTAGAGGTTCTTTGCAATTGTAAGGTGAGGTGCCTATTAAGGTCCTTGGCCCTTTTAAAAATCGGATTGCTTCCCTGGCCAGTTTGGCTCAGCAGTTGAGCATCGGTCTGCAGACCAGAGAGTCCTGGGTTCAGTTCCCGCTAGGGGCACATACCAAAAAAAAAAAAATCGGATTGCTTGTTTTATTGCTGAGTTTTAGTTTTTCATATATTTTGGATAACAGTGCTTTATCAGATATGTTTTCTGCAAATATTTTTTCCCACTCTGTCTCTTCTCATTCTCCTGACATTGTTGAAGAGAAGTTTTACATTTTAATGAAGTCCAGCTTAGCAATTGCTTTCATGGATGCTGCCTTTGATGTTTTATCTAAAAAGTCATCACTACATCTAAAGTCATCTAGGTTTTCTTCTAGGAGTTTTATGGTTTCGTGCTCTACATTTAGGTCTGTGGTCCATGTTGAGCTAATTTTGGTGAAGGGTTTGAGGTCTGTGTCTAGATTTGTTTTCGCACTTGGGTGTTCGGTCCTTCCAGCACCATTTGTTGAAGAGCCTATTTGCTCCGTTGTGTTGACTGTGCCTTTTGTTTTTGTTTCTTGGTCATAGATCAGTTGATTATATTGATGTGATGTAGGTTTGTTTCTAGGTACTCTATTCTGTCCCATTGATCTGTTTGTTCGTTCTCCAGTACTACACTGTTTTGATTACTGTAGCTTTACAGGACGTCTTGAAGTTGGGTAGCATCAGTTTTCTGACTTTGTTCTTCTCCTTCGATATTTTGTTGGCTCTCCTGGGTCTTTTGCCTCTATGTAAACTTTAGAAGCAGTTTGTTGATACCCACAAAATAACTTTCTGGAATTTTGATTTGAGTTGTATTGAATTTATTTTCCCCTTGTTTCCTTTTTATTTAGTTTAATTCAACAGATGTTTATTTGGCTCACATGTAAGTTCCTGTCCTGTGTCCTGGGCATAAAGAAAAGAAAAAGACTTCTGCCTTGCCCTCAGGTGTTTACCTTCTGGTAGACACCCCTCCCCCCCACCCCCCACCCCAGTCGAGTTACATGGAAGGATCACTTTTCTACAGTGACGGTACTGTAGGAGGAGTCTGGACAGAGCACTTGGAGAGGAAGAAAGGATTCATTTCTTCCTGGACCATTCAGGGAATGCCTCAGAGAAGAGGTCACATTTGAGCTAGACCTTGGAGGTGACATTCTTAGGTGCAAGGGAGGGACGAGCAGATCGAAGGTCATTCCAAGGAGAATGGGTGGGCACAAAGCGTGTGCAAGGCGCAGTGTGCGCTCAGACATGGAAGCAAATCGCTTTGGGGTGTGGGAGGGTGATGTGTGTGTGATATTTTTCAGGTGTGTCTTTTTTGTAGATTAATTTATTTAATGAGCACTTGGCACAATGAAGGTTACAAAGAAAGAAATAACACTAGGCTTTACCCTCAAGGAATTTACAGGTCCATTGGGAAGTACAGTAAAAGTTGTCTGGGAAACAGTGTAGATATTTAAAATTTTTAATTAAATTCCCTCTGGTTAAAAAGTATACAGTCCTCACTGAGAAAATGATCCTAACAGTTTTCTAGACAGTTTATTATTTTGTGACAAGGTAGCAAAATGTTTTAATTTCCATGTATTTTTCAAAACGGTTGTTTGAAAGGCATTCAGAATCGTGGGGGAATCGTGGAGGATAAAGTTGTATGTGTGTCTCGGTATGTTTGAGTGATTCAGTCTTGATTTCCTGTTTGAGGCGTTTCTGATCGGTGTTGCTTACCCAGGGGCAAGGCCTGCCTGAGTACCATGTCTCCCGTGAACCCTTCCCGCCGGAAGTCCTGGTATTTCCGTCCTCCAGAGTCCCACAGCTTTGCCTTCGATGGCAGTGTGTGTGTTTTCTTGAACGTGTTCTTTGTGTAGTGTGTGACATCTTCTGCTACATGGGAAGCACTTTCCCACCTGTTCTAATCTCTGTACCCTCCCGTGCTTTATACATTTAGGCATTCTGTAACAACTCCTTGAATGATTTGTTACTTTTTTTGATGGATACAATATCAGATACTTTAAAAAGAAATCTTTGCAAAATATTCTTTTCCTGTATCTCACCCTCCGAAGAGTCCAGGGAGAGAGAATCCCACACTTCACAGTGAGCAGCTGAGGCTCCGTGGGGTTATGAACCCCAGGGCTGTGGGACTGGAGTGTGCGGGCAGCAAGGGCGAGAGCGGAGGAGGGGTAAGCCCGGGTGACAGGCGAGGGCAGTGCGGACAGGCCCCGGAGCACCGCGCGGCTGGCTCCCGAGCCTTTTGTTTTCAGGTTGGTTGTGGAAGGGACAGACCCACAGAACAGGGAGAAGAGCTACACAAAAGAGTTACAGATAAACTTACTTCATTTTTGTGCATAAGACAAAAATTTCAGGAGCAAGTGCAAGAAAAGACAAAACTGGCTTACGCAGACGGAAGGTGGAGGAGGGACATTTAGGGCTGTCCCAGTTGGGAGTTCAGAGTGGACCCGGTGGCAGAGACAGCTGGATGCGGGCCTGGGGCGGCGTCTCCGGGTCTCCCTTTTGGCGGTGTCATGGCTCTTCTGCGTTGGCTTCATTTTCAGGTACTGTTCCTCCTCCTACCGATTCAACAGCTGGAAGAAAAGCCCCTTTCCTCGCAGCCCCAGCAGGTGTTCTGAGATTACCTTTGACTGGCTTGTGGGCCTGTCCTTTAGTTATTTAGTTATTTGAAATATGTTTTTATTGATTTTTTTTTTTAGAGGAAAGGAGAGAGAGAGAAACATCAGTGTGAGAGAGAAACATCGATCGGCTGCCTCCTGCATACCCCCTACTGGGGATCGAGCCTGCAACCCGGGCATGTGCCCTGAGCAGGAGTCACACCGGGACCTCTCGGTGCATGGGACGATGCCCAGTCTCCTGAGCCACACCGATCGGACAGGCTGTCCTTTACACAGTTCTGGTGGCAAGAGCCCATGCAGTGGAGTAGAGTCGCCCACCGGGGCTGCAGCCTTAGTTGAAGACGTGGTCTCCAACGGGGTGTCAGGGGCTTTCACTAGAGCGACCTTCTACCTTTGAAGGACAGAAAGCTTCCCTCGTGCGAAGGGGAGGTTCGGGTGCACTGGGATCGGTCAGGCTATTTTTATCTGTAGCCTCCAGAATGGAAACTCAGCTTGTTCTCGGCTGCGTATCTCTGCTGGTGACGACCAGAAAGAGAAAAACGAGGCCGGGAGTCCGCAGAGGGAGTCGGAGTTGTCTCAGCCCCGCGGTGCCCGCCGTGCGGGAGAAGAGGGTGGCGGGCGGGGGCGTCCAGCTTCATCAGGTGCGGGGCAGAGCGGCCTCGGACGGCCGCTTGTCCGCGGCGGGGGCTCGTTGAGGCCCTTCACGAACCCGCCGTCAGGCCAGCTCGCGTGAATGGTCGTGTTGAGACGACGTGACGCTTTGGTCCGAAGTCTGTTTTCCTTCGCGGAGCTGTGTGAGTTCTGACCAGTCTCCGGCCCAGACACCTGGGGAGTTGTTGGAGAAGCGTGTAAACCTGGCGGCCTGCCTCACACTGGGCCACACGTGTCCGTGCCTGGGTCCGTGCAGGGCGGGCGGCCTGCCTCACACTGGCCACACGCTGTCCGTGCCTGGGTCCGTGCAGGGCGGGCGGCCTGCCTCACACTGGGCCACACGTGTCCGTGCCTGGGTCCGTGCAGGGCGGGTGGCCCGCCTCACACTGGGCCACACGCTGTCCGTGCCTGGGTCCGTGCAGGGCGGGTGGCCCGCCTCACACTGGGACACACGCTGTCCGTGTCTGGGTCCGTGCAGGGCGGGTGGCCCGCCTCACACTGGGCCACACGCTGTCCGTGCCTGGGTCCGTGCAGGGCGGGTGGCCCGCCTCACACTGGGACACACGCTGTCCGTGCCTGGGTCCGTGCAGGGCGGGTGGCCCGCCTCACACTGGGACACACGCTGTCCGTGCCTGGGTCCGTGCAGGGCGGGTGGCCCGCCTCACACTGGGCCACACGCTGTCCGTGCCTGGGTCCGTGCAGGGCGGGTGGCCCGCCTCACACTGGGCCACACGCTGTCCATGTCTGGGTCCGTGCAGGGCGGGTGGCCTGCCTCACACTGGGCCACACACTGTCCGTGTCGGGAGCCGTGCGGGCTGGGAATGGGATTTTCAGAATTTTAGGTTTGAATAATTCAAATGATGGAGTTGTCATTATATTCATGATCTCACTTGTTTAGTCCATAAAGCTTATTTTTGAGTGTCTGCCGTGGACTATGTTCCATGATAGGTGCTGGGATGTAGAAATGAAAACTTTATTTCTGGTTTTTAAGGAACCTAGGATCTAGGGAAGGTGAAAAAACATGACTAAAATACTGTGTGTCAGTAGTTAGGATAGACAGGGGTATTTATCAGAGGACTCCAAAGGAGGGGCATAGGTCCCAGCCAGGGGAGGGATGTGCAGGCAGGGAGGGCCTCCTGGAGGAGGTGGCCTTTGGAAACAGCCGTGTACAAAGAGACACGTGCAGGTGGACCTGGTTAAAGTGTGATGGTGGGAAGCCAGGCAGGCAGTGGTGTTTGGATGTTTATGCTATGCTGGAAGGTGACGGGGTCCCTGGAGAATTCTAGTGGGAAAGGAGTATGATTACGGACACTTGTATTACTGTCCATTTATGAATAGTCAGTACCCATACCTGGTTCAGAGATAAAAAGTAGTAATGTTGAAGGGTACATTCTGCAACATTTTCTGCTTATCTAGTACCCTTCCCTTCAGACAGCCACTGCGTGAGTCTCATGTACCTTCCCAGGGCTGTCTGCGAATAGAAGCAGATGCAATACGCGCGTCCGTGGTCTCCCGCACCCCCCTCACAGGTGCGCGTACACCGTGCTCACCGCGTGCACCTCACTGTGTCCGCTTAGCTCCTCGTCTTGGCGAGATCTCTCCCTGTCAGCATGTAAACAGCGTCATTTTCTCTCTCTTGTTTTCTTATGGCTGCTTAGTTTTCCATTTTCAGGATGGCCCACAATTTAGTTGACCAGTCCACTGTTGATGAGCATTTAGGTGGCTTCTGATCTTTTTCTCTGTTACACACAGAGCTGTCGTAAGTCACGTCTGGCACAGGAGAGTGGCATTTCAGGACGTCCACCCGGGCTTCAGGATGTGTGGGATGGATGAGTGGGTGGAGGGTCGATGGCTGAGGAGCGAGCGGGGTGACGAAGGTGACACCAGACAGCCCAGTGGTGAGGCGACTGCGGTGCCCGGGGGAGGGGAGCGGCTGGAGGGAGGGATATTCGGGAGATCCAGCAGGACTGGGCGGCCTCTGTCGTGCTGGGATAGGGGACGGGAGGAGCCAAGCCTGATTTCTTGGGACAACTAATAGGACATTTATTACCCAGGTGCCGTAGATGAACAAACCCCACATTGATGGGGAAACGCAGGCACGGAATTGAAGGCAGCCACTAGCAACGACAGTTAGTGGAAACACGAAGTGGGAACCAGTGGGTATTGATAGGAACCGAGTAATTGCAATTAAGTCTCAGTGAGGAAATAATTAAGGACAAGGACATAAGGACGGGCATGGTCCCCTAGTAAGTTCTTTAGATTTTCCATTCTTCTGGGAGGCCCACTGGCATTATTGCATTTGCTTTTAACAGTAATTCAGAGGAGCGGTAGCGTGTTGAAGGATAAGACACAAACGTTGAGGTGGAATGTTCTCTGAGCCTCTGCATGTCGGGGCGGTCGCAGGCCCATGCCCACGGCGCACCCCGATTTGTATCATGCAGACTTTGACTAAGGAAACCCCTTTTCCAAAGAGTCTGCCCTTGTTGTGACTGGTCCTTCCGTTCCTTTGGCGTGTGGGATGATTGACTGACGGGACAGGGATTTCTGGGTGGGGTTTGCTGACTCCTGGGTGTTCACCGTGTGCTGGGCACATTCCCCTCCCTGCAGATGGTCCTCATTCCTGCCGGCGTGTTTACAATGGGCACGGACGACCCTCAGATCAAGCAGGATGGGGAGGCTCCCGCCAGGAGAGTCACCGTGGACGCCTTTTACATGGACGCCTATGAAGTCAGTAACGCGGACTTCGAGCAGTTCGTCAACGCCACCAGCTATCTGACCGAGGTGATGAGCTGCGGGGGGGGGGACAGCTGCCCTTCCTCCACCTGTCCTGTGCGCCGGCCTTGCTGAGCCCCTGCCTCCAGCGCAGCCCCCACTTCGTCCTGGCATCTCCGTGGGGCCGGGTGCTTGTTGGGTAGCACACAGGCTCGGAGAAGACGGCCGCGTCGCATGGCTGGTTGGTGGGGAGCGGGCAGTGCAGCCGGGCCCGGGGCTGTGCCTTCGCCGTGCTGCCTGTCGTGGGAACTCACCCAGCAGTGCACCGTCCCCCGGGCTCTTCGAGACCACAGGTGGCACGTAAAGTGGGGCCACTGTTCCCTCAGAAAATCACAGTCTGGTTGTTCCGGAAACATGACGTGTTTCCCAAGAGACAGATGCGAAAGGCAGATGGGCATTTTCCTGGTTGTATCCCAGTGCCCGGCGACTCGGCGCCCGGGGGCAGGCAGGGCCACCCGCGTGCTGTGGTCTCTGAGCCACGAAGCCAGGTTCTGAAGGTGGCTGTGCCCTGACGGGGACAGAGCTCTCGTGGGCCTGAGAGTTTCCGTGAGGGCCTCACATCCCGGCTCTGCAGGCTGCGCGTTTCCCAGGTGCCCTCGCCAGGGACCCTGGCCCCAGCTTCTGGACTCTGTTCTTTTCCCAGGCCCAAAACATCTGTTTTTGTTTTTGTTTGTAACTAAGAAAGTCACTCGAGAGTGAACGCTGAAGCAGAGCAGCAGATTGGTCTCGCATCGTCCCCTTTCTTGGGCATTTCCTAAAAAGGATGAAGTGTTGTGGTTTTGTGCCTGTTGGTAGTAAGCAGAGCCCCGTTGTTCTGTTCCCTAAGGGTGCCCTCAGGTCAGGTTCCTCAATGGTCTGTAAGTAGGCAGACGATTTCCAAGGACAAGCTTGGACTAGGCCTCTTGGTGAAGACTGGACGCGCAGAGTCAGGGCATCAGGAACACGGTCAGGGGAAATGACATCTGCATCTCTCTACCCTCTCGCTGAAATGTCACTTTTCCTGTCATTATGAAGCAGACACCCAGCCCTAGTGATACCAGGACCTGTGTTTTCATCACCAACGGAAACCAGACACCTTTGTCTCATTGTGTTGCAGACATCGGGACTTGCTTGCTTCCTCCCCTCTTCAGAGGTGATGATGATTCTGAGACCTGCCACTAGAGCTCATTTGATGATTAACACAGAGCGCACGTGTATCATCATGGCACACGCTGGTTTGGTCCATATTTTGACGGGACTGTTTTCTTTGTAACCATAGTGACTCTGTTTCATACCCTCACTCATTTCATTGTGAGAAGAGGTCCTTAAGCCTCATGCCACCAAAGGGGTCCAGGACACGAGGAGGGTTGAGAAGCCTGTTCTGGTTAAATGCTTCCTGTTTTGGCCACTTCACAGTGTTTCCTGTCCCTGCGCCTCGCTCCCCCTCTAACTGCTCTGCTTTCCTGGGAGCACGGCCCTTCTCCCCAGGGGCCCGTGTCCCCCCTGGAATCCCTGCCCTCTCTCCCTGGTGCAGGGCTGCTGCTTCTCACGCATGAGTCATCCTGGCTCACGTGTCCCTTCCACAGGGGCTCCTCTGCTCACGGCGCCGGAAGGAGCCTTTGCTCACCCTTCTATGCCTCACAAGGCCAAGCCAAGTTGTGATTATTTTCTTGCTTTCCTTTTTTTTTTTTTTTTGGCTTGATGTTTGTGCCCCATGTAAGCACTATAAGGGTAGGGACCACGGCTGCCTAGTGTTGACCTTGTATCTCCGTCATTTAGCCCAAAGCCGGCACAGGGCAGGTGTTCGGCAGGTGGTGTTGGGTGTTGTTTAGGCACGTAGGCGTGGTGGGGCCCGGAGCCAGGAAGAGGAGCAGGGCGAAGAAAAGATGGTGAGCTCCACGCGGGAGGGGGTCTGAGGTCCATGCGGGGGGGTGGGGCTCTGAGGTACTTGCAGGGGGTCTGAGGTACTTGCAGGCCTGAATACAGGGCCCAGTAGGCAGTTCATGTCTAGGACAGGCCTCGCCTGGAGGTAGAGATGTGGGAACCGTTTGGTGTACTGGTGTTTCTTAAAGTGATGAAACTGGGGTTGCCCCATGGCGCAGGGTGCATCCCACAGTGCGGCCTCTCAGACGGGCTGTCTGAGGGTCGGCGGCTGAGCGTTCTCACGGGAGCTGCAGACCTCCAGACCTCCGGAGCCCGTCTCTGTGGCAGGCTGGCCGGGGCGCCCTTCCCAAGGCCCGGGAGGCTGGGGTGCAGTGAGGAGAGCAGGGCGGGGCAGCGCCCCTGTACTTCAGGAGATGAGCAGGACGTCAGAAACGGGGGGAACCAGCCGTGAGGGGCCCCGAGACCCAGGGCCGGGGCGGGTGTCCGCAGAACGCCTCGCGTGCCCACAGGGAAGGGGCTGAGGCCCGAGGCCGTGTTGAGTGGAGGCATTGCAGTACAGATGTCCGTCTGGTGCTTCACGTCTGTCAGCGCAGCTGACGCCTTCATGGACCAGAAGGTCGGCAAACAGTGCCGAGTGCTGCTTTCGGCTGGGTGCTGGGAGCGGCCCAAGGACACGATCACGAGACTCACGTGTGGAGATACGTCACCTTGCAGAGTCGTCTGCGATGCTTGGGGTGTCTCTCCGTCAGCAGCACCCTCTCGTTCCCAGAGGCGGATCTCTTCCTAGGCGCCCTTAGCCCCACGAGCCCGAGCGGGCTGGCTGTGAGCGGCAGTCGCCTGCTTGGTGGGAAGCCAGGAGCTCCTGGGTCATTGCCGCGGCCCTGGGAAGTCACGGGAGAGCTTCCGTCTATGTGGGCGGGGTCGCTCACAGCGTGAGGACGCACTGACAGCTTGTCCTGGGTTTCCTCTCCCCAGGCCGAGAGGTTCGGTGACTCCTTCGTCTTCGAAGGCCTGCTGAGCGAGCAGGTGAAGACTGGGATCCGGCAGGCGGTGAGTCAGCTTCACGGCCTCTCCGTCTCCCCGCCGCTCGAGGGAGGGCCTGGTGGAAAGCCCCTGCCCCCGCCCCTGCCGCCTCTGCTGCAGGTTGGCCTGGAAGAGCAGGCCCAGGCCCAGGCCCAGGGCACTTTAGCTCGAGGAAGTGGCCCAGCCCAGGATGGTGTCGGCTGTGGCTTCCCGAGTGTCTGAGGGGCACACGGGGTCTCTGCGTCAGGCTTCGCGGGCTCTAGGTCCCTGTCCCTCACAGGTGTTCTGGAAGGAGGGCTCACGTGTCTTTGTGAACCCCGCTCTGCGCCGATGTCCTCAGCTGCCGCGGGAGAGCTCCCTCTGTGACCAGCTCCCGGAGCAGTGTCGTGCACGAGACCTCTGTCCGGGAGCCTCCTGGGAGCCGGAGCCCGGGGCCTGGGGGGCCTGTGTGTTTCCATGAGTCCTGAGGAGGAGAGACACAAACGGGGAAGGAGAGTGGGTGAGCTGGGATGTGGGGGTTCACAGGACAGAGGCCTGGAGTGCAGAAGGCGGGGCGGGGACAGGGTGGAGCGTGTCCCCCACTTGTTTCGTGCCCAGTGTCCCTCCTGTCTGTCTTTCTGTGGCGCCCAGGGCCCAGGCTCTTTCTCAGGCGGGCTGAGCAGGATGGGGCGGGCCTGGGGGACCCAGCTTGCTCTCAGCTCGCCTGTAGGAGACTTGGGCCACTTCTCTGTGCATTTTAGGTAAGTGTGCAGAGACCTGACTGAGCGCCACTGAACGTCACCGCTCTCTTGATGCAGCACAAGTGCACGCCGCAATCTAGTCTGAGCCACCGTTGTGAGGCTCTGAGGTCGGGTTGGCCTGTGCCGACCACAGCGGCTCGGGGGTGGGCCCTCGTCGGGGCCAGTCCCAGTGGGCGCACCTGCGCCTGCTTCGTAGTCCACCTTCCAGAAGAGGCCTCTGGTCCCCGAGAACCTCGAGGCACGAGGCCCGGCAGGCGCAGAGGCTGGGCCGGGCGGGTGCCGTGACCAGGGTGTGAACCAGCCGCTCGTCCCGAGTAGTGCTGGCCACTCGCTCTCATGCCCACGATGGAAAAGCAGACCGTCTAAGCGTGTTTAGAAAGGGTTGGAAGGAACAGGGGTCTGAGAGTGAGCTGAGGGAGACTGTCCTAACCCCGTGTCCCCGACGTTCAGGACGCGAGCTGGCCCACTCGGTGCCACTCGGTGAGGCAGATGAGCCCAGGTGGTCCATGGCCAAGCAGAAGACAGCCCTGACTTAGCTTTCCCTCCTCAGGTGGCTTCCAGCCCTGCCCAGTCAAGGCGCACGGCCCCTTGGGTGCGGGCGTGGCCTGGGGACCTGGCGCCCTCGCTAGTCTCCTCTCCAGCCGGAGACAGGCCGCGCACCCCGCGCACCCCACGCACCCTGCGCACCCCGCGCACCCGCACACCCGTGGGAGCCGACCTGCTCCTGCTGGCTTACTGCGTGTGATTGTTTCAAATGTAACTGTCTACAGCATTCGCTCTCATGTACTATTTAATGTTTTATGTAATTATTTTAAATAGATGTAATTATGTTCATGACATGTTACACTAGTGATATCAATTATCCTTTAAAAAAACACTCTTATATTATAAAATAAAACATGAACACAGAAAGCAGAGGTGTTCGGCTCACTGAGCTACCCTAAGGCGAACCTGTTTGTGACCATCACCTAAGTTAGGAAGCAGTTTCACGACCTGCCCAGGTACCCGTCCATGTGTCACAACCTGGTCACTGCCGTGCTGTCCCCAAAGTAGCCACTCTGCTGCCTTTGAACGAGACGCCCCCCTGCATTTCTTTATACGTAGTGTCACCACCAGCTGTGTGTCCCAAGACTACTAAAGTTTAATCTTGCCTGTTTAAAAGAAATTTGTCCTTTAAGACTCTTAATCTATAGATTTCCCTTCTGTTGCATACTCTTCCCCCGTTTTCCTGCTCACATTTTACCTGGGGAAGAATCCAGGGCCTTGAGCCTGTGGCCTTGCCCAGTCTGACTTTCGCTGCCTTTCCTCTCACGGAGCGGCTCCTGTCTCCGCTCGCTGCTGACTCCTGCCGGCAGGTGGCGGGACTCAGGCCTGACCTGACGCTGCGCGAGCGTCTGGTGAGACCGGTCCTGGCTCTGCTCCAGCAGGCTCCTCGGGTCTGCTCCTCCCTCTCCGGGTGCCACCCGGGCTGCCCCGTGCCGGGACCCCTCATCCACGGGGGCTGTACGGTACTGATAGCTGGTACAGAGTTTTCAGTTTTTAATTGGGGTTCTTTTGTGAAGGGGTGGCTCCGTCCACCTGTTGTTTTGTGCGTCGTGGGTGTAGTTCACGCAGGAAAGGCAGAGCACGTGCGTGGTTCTCCAGCTTCTGAGAGGGTGAGTTCCGCCCCTGCACCCTCCCAAAGTGACCGGGAAATGTATTTTAATTAAACATTTAAAGACAACTGTAGAGTCACGTGTAGTTTAAGAAATAATGCAGAGGGATCCTGTGTCCCTTTTCCCATTTCCTCCAGTGGTGGCATCTCGTGTAACTAAAATAGTTCCACAGCCAGGAGGTTGACCGCTAAGGCGTCACACTCATCGCTGTCTGCGTTCAGTGGTTTCACACGTATTCACTCCTGTCTGTGTATATTTAGTTCTGTGCAGTGTTATCACAAATGTGGGTTTGTATAATCGCCCGATTTTACAAAATATTTTTATGAACTTGTGGATTAAAAAGTATATTATGAGCAGTGAACACAGGGGTGCATGTATGTTTTTCAATTGCTGTCTGTGTTCTTCAGATAAATACCTAGAAGTGGCATTGCTGGGTTGTATGGCAGGTCTATTTTTAATTTTTTGAGGTCCTCCATTCTGTTCTCCCCAGCGGCTGTTCCAGTTCACACTCCCACCAACAGGACGCCCCCACTCTGCCTCCACGCTCGTCACTTGTTGACTTTTTAGTGACACCATTTCGACAGGTGTGAGTGGCATCTCGTGGTTTTGGTTTGCATTTCTCGGATGATTAGTGATGTTGATCATCTTTCCATAGGTCTGTTGACCGTGAGTATGTCTTCTTTGGAGAAATGTCTGTTCAGATGCTCTGCCCATTTTTTTTAGTGTTAAGTTGTATGAGTTTCTTATATATTCTGGATATTTGTGAATATTCTCTCCCATACAGTAGGTTGTCTTTTGTTTTGTTGATGGTTTCCTTTGCTGGGCAAAAAAGCTTTTTAGTTGATGTAGTTCCTATTTTTTTCTGTTACTGTCCTCGCCCAAGGAGACATCTAAATAGGTATTGCTGAGAGCCATGTCAGAATTTACTGCCTGTGTTTTCTTCTAGTTCTATGGTTTCAGGTCTTACATTTAAGTCTTTTCATCCATTTGAGTTTATTTTTGTATATGTTGTAAGAAAGTGGCCCAGTTTCTTTCTTTCTTTCCTTTTTGTATGTAACAGTTTTCCCAACACCATTCATTGAAGAGACTGTCCTAACCCATTGTGTATTCTTGCTTCCTTTGTTGTAGATTAATTGACCATTTGATGAGAGTTTATTTCTGGGTGGCTCTTTATTCTGTTCCATTAGTCTATATCCTTGTTTTTATGCCAGTACCATACTGTTTTGATTATTGTAAGTTTGTAGTACAGTTTGATATCAGTGGCTCTGATACCTTCCACTTTGTTCTTCCTCAAGATTTCTTTGGCTATTCAGGGTCTTTTGTGGTTCCATGTAAATTTTAGGATTATTGTTCTAGTTCTGAGAAGAATGCCGTTGGTATTTTAATAGGGAGTGTATTGAATCTGTATATTGCTTTAGGTAGTAAGTACATTTTAACAATATTAATTCTTCTAATCCTTCCATTTATTTGTATCCTCTCATTTTATTTCTTTTATGTCTTATAGTTTTTAGAGTACAGGTCTTTTACCTATTTGGTTAAATTTATTTCTAGATATTTTATTCTTTTTGATGCAATTGTAATTGAGATTATTTTCCTAATTTCTCCTGATGGTTTGTTATTGAAACACAATAAATTTCTGTGTATTTATTTTGTATCCTGAAACTTGACTGAATTTGTTAGTTCTAATAGTTTTTTGGTGGAGTCATTAGGATTTTCTATATGTAGTATCATGTCATCTACAAATAGTAACAGTTTTACTTTTTCCTTTCCAGTTTGGATGCCTTTTCTTTCTTTTTTTTTTTTAATCCTCACCCGAGGACATTTTTCCATTTTTTTATTCAGATAGAGTGGGAGGGAGGGAGAGAGAGAGAGAGAGAGAGAGAGAGAGAGAGAGAGAAACATTGATGTGAAAGGGACACATTGAGTGGCCGTGACCTGCACGACCAACCAGGGCAGGGGACAAACTGCAACCGAGGTACGTGCCCTTAGCGGGAACTGAACCTGGGTCTCTCTGGACCGCAAGCTGATGCTCTAACCTCTGAGCCAAACTGGCCAGGGCTGGATGCCTTTTCTTTATTTTTCTTGTCTGATTACTGTGTCTAGGACTTCCAATACTATGTTGAACAGAAGTGATAGTGGGCATCCTTGTCTTGTTTCTGATTTTAGAAGCTTCCAGCTTTTCCCAATTGAGTATGCTGTTAGCTGTCATATATGGCCTTTATTACGTTGAGGTATTTTCCCTCTATACCTGCTTTGTTAAGGGTTTTCATCATTTAGTCATTTAAACATTGAGCTGACTTTTTGAGTTTGCTTGTGAAAATATCTGAAACTGAGTGTATTTAATGGTTTAAAACAGCACAGGTGCCTGCTGAAATTAACTTAGTCGTGATTATTATTTGGATGCTCCGTTTGAAACAAGGGTGTTAAAAGGTACAGCTACTAAATTGTAGAGAGGGTTAAGGCTAGCTTTTCAGTTGTGTTGTTTTTGTTTGTCTTAGGGTATTTTACCTTCTATTCTTGAAGGGGTAGTATTTATAATATTTAACATCTAAAAAGCATGTTTCATTTTTTTATAGTTGTGTTTTTTTTTTTTAATAAAGTTTTATTTTCTAAAACATACCGGAACCTCTGG